GTTGGTCCCAAACACTAATACAAACATCAGTGGCGTATTTTAATGGACGTGAAGCTACAACTTACATGCCACGAAAGAAAGAGTGAGTTTTCGCCTCGTTTAGTGTAGGGCGGTCGTACGCATCCTTATCTAACATCTAAGGCGAGGGTAAGATCGTGCAAATAGAAAATGACGGGCAAATTACGTACTCCTTGTAAGAACAAGCGACTGACTTCATCAATGGGGTCTATGCCAATCCAATCTTTGAATGTGGCATCAGTCATCCGATATTCCATGACGATTGGGTCCTCATCAAAACTGGCGGTAAATGGAGTCTAGATGGGATGGTCAACACTGTCAACGTCCGAAAAATTTGACTGCGGACTTACGTGACCTAAAACCATCAGGAAAATTACCACTGCGAAAGACCAGACATCGGTGGAGAATGTATACGGCTCGCCCTTCCACATCTCTGGAGACATGTAGTCTAGTGTGCCCGCGACATCCGTGAGAAAGAGGTTTCCTGCGGCGGCAGGAACGTAAGGCTGACCAGCAGGAGCAATAGAGGTCGCCAGCCCGAAATCAGCTAGTACAAGATGACCATCAGCTGTAAGGAGGACATTGTCGGGCTTAATATCACGGTGGATGATGCCAAGCTTATGGAGTGACTGAAGGGCAATGAGCTGTTTGGAAGTGGATCAGTCAGTTAACAGGAGTATGCTGGTATGTGCTCACCAATTCTGCCGCGTAAAATTGGGCGAGTTTGGGAGGCATGCAACCCCAACGCCCGATTTCTGTCCTCAGGTCGCCTCGAGAATAATATGACTGGCTGGAGGTTGAGACAAATTCAAAGGAAATAAGAATGAACACTTACAGTGACCAAGAAGAAATGACGCTCGTTGTGGAAGCTTCCGAGGAATTCCATGATTCCCTTTGCACCCTGGATAGTGACTTGTTGTAAGATCCGCTGTTCGTCTATAACATTCTTGTGGTCGCAGAATCTCTTGTCTATGACCTTCAGGGCCACTTTGAGGCCGGTCGACTTATGCTTGACCAAATATACGGATCCAAAACCGCCTTCGCCTACCATACGAATGTTGATGAAATCATAGAGATTAAGAGGGTTGGGAGAACCAGGAGTAACAGTGGACTGTGAAAGGCCGGGTGGAATGAGAATTCCGCGTGGGCTTGTCGGTCTCGGAGTTGGGGCTGTAGAGAGCGCAGCCTGCCGAACCTCTGGGAGGCTAGCTAACACCCATTTTGAAATATATGATGTTCCTTCTTCAAATTTGTGTCCACATACAGACACCTTGAGGGATGATCGCAGGTCCAGAACCTCTGGATGATGAATAGCAGCAGCCATAAACTCCGGGAAAACATGTTCGACTTCTCGGTGGGTATTTTGAACCACAGTGATCTATGCAGAGGGGAGGTAGGCAATTATACAAGGGCAGATATGGAACTGCGTACCATGACGTGTCCCTTACTTTCTTCGATGGGATGTAACAAATTGTTCACTATATCATGGTCTTTGTCTTTCTTGGCCTTCTTGCTGGCGATGAATGCTTTGAAGCGCTGCAGGAGACCCATCGTAGCGAAGAGCACCGAGTAACGCTGGACTTCAAAGGCTACGCGGAGGAATTTCAAGTCAGGAGAGATAGTACGACAACGACGGGGATGACGTGCTGAATCATGCTAACCAGTTGTCTCGTTATCCAACTTGAAGGTCAGCCTCCATGCGGGTTTCCTGGGCTGACTTTTGACTACTAAATCATCATCAGTAAAGCCAGCGGTATGGTTGACAGCGCAGGACATACCTGAAGGGACTGTTCGTATTTGATGTACGACCCATGTCAAGATAGGGGGACAATACAGGCTCGAAGTAAACGATTACACAGTAGCCAGCGCGTCGTTGGCCTGATAGTATCTTATTGTGTCGAATGGACGCATCGAGTAACTTGAGGCAACCGGTCTTCAACCAAAGATAACAGATATCTGCACTTATGACCTTCTCTGATTCCTGGAAGGCTCTCAAAGGTCAAAATTTGAGGTCAAAGCGTGCTCAACTGCAACTTAAAGACTTGCCATATAAGGACGAGCCTTACCGGCTAAACGCCCACCCAAATGAGCCTCAGACCAACTTTTGTAGGCAGAGGGCAGACTAGGCTCCGTAAAAGAGACGCATCAATATTGCGTTCATTCAGAAGAGACAAATAATCAGCAAATCGGAGAACTAAAGTAGGCTCTACCAGCATAGCATCTGGCTAGCATTGGCGAAGGTGGTGAACGCTGGCAAAGTCCCAATCGGGAGCTTACGTAACAGCCAGCTGGTGGCTGTTAACTGTACAGTTCTTGACCGATTTGGCACTCGCACATAACGCGCGTTAGTGAGCTAGCCAGTCTAGCACACCGCCGACGACCTCAATAACTTTTCCAAGATGGTGAGAACCATACCTTGTACTGTACGGCGAAGTGCTGACGGTATCTCCTATGACGCTAGACAAAACGAACCCGCAAGGTTGGCGTGACCGGTAAATACGGTACCGTGAGTTTGCTTCCCTATGCTATGGAGAGGTCTCAATAGGCCACGGGAGAGGGAAACCGAACGAGTCTTTGAACTGACTGGGTTATTTCATGGTTAGCGTTACGGTGCTTCGCTCCGTAAGCAAGTCAAAAAGGTGCGCCGTGGGACGTAACAGTTTTTAGAATTTATTACTAACACGAAGCTCATTGCACAGATGGAAATCACGCAGCACGCGCGATACACTTGCACCTTCTGCGGAAAGGCAAGCTAACTATCTACCTGGTTTCGACGTATTGTCGCTTATATATGTGCCAATAGGACTCCGTCAAGCGTCAGGCTGTTGGAATCTGGAAGTGCAAGGCTTGCCAGAAGGTCGTTGCGGGCGGCGCATGGACAGTCACCACCACTGCCGCTGCGACAGTCAGGAGGTGTGTTATAATGACCATACCTCGCTTATTCACCATTGGCTGATCATAAAATCTTAGTACTGTTCGCCGGTTGCGCGAGCTGACCGAGGCATAGGCGTTCCTTAGCTTGTTTTTCTCCATGCTTTCTTCTCGCAGTCTTCGCATTTTGTCGTACGCATTTACGCTTAAGAGCAATAACTATGGCACCACGCAGCATGCCTCTCCATCTGGATCCTTGTATGATCATGTATATTGCACTGCACCGTCCGCCTTGTTGATGTTCTGTGTGAGAAGGCGAGAGTGGGTCACACAAAATGAGTGAATTACAATGGCAGTTGTGTTGTATTCATGGAAATAGTACGACAAACTAATCAAGAACATCGAAAGAAAAAGAAGCAGTACTGTATGGTAAATATATTATAGAAACATCTTTCTACATCATTTCATCTTGTGCCTGCTCACTTTCTTCATCTTCAGCTTCTTCTTCGTCACTTTCATCGTCGTCGTCATCGCTCTCGCTCTCATGGAAAGTGAGAGAGATAAACTCATCACCCATTTGCGCATCCTCAGCTGTGACCACACGCGACCTAGTAGAAGTACTTGAATCGACGTCAGCCTCAGAAGAAGAAGCACTGGCAGGATTAGAGGCTTGTGGAGTTCCGACGTGTTTACCAAAAGGCCGAGATATAGTTTCAATGGCGGTCTTGGGCCGATTGTGGTTTGCACGAATAACATGGGGAAGCTTGCATTTCTTCGTGGTACAAATGCCCTTCTCTGCGAAGTCAGGGCACTCGCGAACATGTTGATGTTCACAGTCGAGCCCCTTCTCGCAGTAACCAAGGACAGCGAAATCGCGGCAGACGCCTTCGCGGCGCCCCACCTTGACATGGGGGTATGGGCATTTAGCCCTCGTACATCTTCCTGCATTGGCAAAGTGAACACAGAGGGGTGTGCGCTCCGGAGTGGGGTCGTGTGAGAGTGGGCAAGTTGAGGCAGAATTTGGACAGGAGCCTTGCAGGAATGGCCAGCAAATAGCAATCTTGTTTGCATCGTGTGTATAAGGGCATGTCAGACCTCGGGAGCAAGCACCTGGATTTGATCGATGGAAGTGAGTAAGCATTGTAAGTTGCGTGGTACTCACCTGTGGTATTGAACCGCGGGCATGGTTTATCAACATATTTACGGCGGCGAGCACTGCACGAGTATGAGATATGTAACTTTATGTAACGGATGCGTGAGACGCACCCTAGGGGTCGGCGATCGTTGGTTAGAGTCATATTGCGATTCATGGGACGTCCACGACGGATAGCCTTGGGCTTGTAAATGCGAGTTGTGCCAGCAAACTTGCCTAAGTTCTTCCTGGGATAGCTGGATCTCGGTGGTAAAGGTTTCACAATTTGAGGCGCCGGCTTAGCAATGGCCACTAGAAGGTATTATAATTGGTCAGGAACACGAGGCAGGCCACTCTCGACAAGAGGGAAGTCGACTTACAGTCTTTGCGAACGAGAGAACGACCAGAGGTCTCAAATGCGATACCATTGATGACAACATCTCGCTTCTCGTCTGGATACGTCGAAAGGGGTCTTGGGATGGGAGGTCGGGGAGCGGGAGGTATAGGGGCAGCTGCTCTAAGAGGAGGCTTGTAATCCGGGTTGACGTACACGTTGTTGCGGGGTCGGCCACCTGGGTAAAAGGTTGTTTGACGAGGATTGTAATCTGGAGTATGGATTTTTTGACGGTTGATAGCACCTATCATAAACACAATTGTAAGTCATCTGCGATACTCCTTAGCAAACTCAAGGAGCGCGATCAGGAGTTGTTCACTGTGGCACTCCCTCCTGCGAAATGGAGTTTTTGGCAATGTCTTACCTGTTAGTCTAGCGATTTCTTCTTTCATAGCTGCCGCAGATGTTGAAGGCAAATCCATAGTCGGTAAGGCTTCAGTGCTTCGGTCTTGAATCTTGGAAAGTGGTGGTGTGTATGAAGAAACCAGTTGCTAAAGGGCCACAAGGGCGCAGGGGTCATGATAACACTTGCTGACAAACCTTACCCGGTTCCCATTATAGTAGCTACAATGCACGTTACTCTTGGTCCTTGTCGATTAGTGGTTAGATCATCACGTTGTGGCCATCGCAAATCCGTGAAGACGGAGGCTCGAATCCTCCCTGGGACATTTGTTTTTATTCAGTGACACTGATGGAACAACTAGTTTTTTCTTCAAGACTCAAGTTGAAGGCTTCAAAGTTCAAAATTGCTAACTAGCTGCTCAAACAATTCAAAGAACATTGAAAAAGTTCTTTACGGATGTGGCTGTGAGAAATTTAACTTATCGCACTTAGGCTCGTGCCCGTCCTATTCCATTAATATGGCAACCCGGTACGTATCATAGTATATGCGCAAAAACACCTAGGTCCCGGACAACATCCAACTTGACTCTGATGTACATGCTTGCATATGTACTATATGATGGTTCACTGCAAGGAGTCTAGGCGTCAAACCCAATTCTGATTCAAGGATAGTACCACTCTCAACCTCTGTCGTTGCCCTCATGCTTCCTGTGCAGATTACACCACATATACGCTTCTCTCGTGCACTTTATTGCAGAAGTCATCGACAATGTCGCCCCACCTCACTGAGTCGGTCCTTCGCGTCCGCTGGAACTCTCCCTCATCACCAGAGCCCCTCGCATTCAACAGTGAACACAGATGAAATTGCGCATTTCTCAAGATTGTCCTCGTTGTGGTGGGATGAGCGCGGCGAATTCGGTATGTTGCACAAGATGAACCCGGCGCGCATTCAGTTCCTCCGGGACAAAGTGGTGAGTCTTTCAGCTGTTCTCGCATACCTCCACATGACACAAAGTCGGAGATGCAATAGAAAGTTACTGGAATGCCTTATCTCACACTCTATAGACAGAAATTGCCCTGGACGATGATCCGAATGCTTCCGTCAATCCAACACGTATACTGCGTGGCCTCAACGTACTTGACGTCGGTTGTGGAGGAGGTCTATTGAGTGAGGTGTGTTACTTACTCTGGGTACGCGTGTCTTAAATAACTCTTCGTCCCTTTCAGAGTCTGACACGTCTTGGTGCAAATACGTTGGGAATCGATGCTTCAGCCTCGAACATCTCAATCGCATCGCTTCATGCATCTGCGGATCCTTCCTTGAACTTTACCTCAGGGATCTCCTCCCTGCTTCCTGCACATACGACGGTACATCGTGGGAATAAGGCAGAAGGCAAAGGTACCTTGACTTATACCCACACCTCTGTCGAGGAGCTTCTAATCGAGCGCGGCGAGGGGGCATTCGACATCGTCTGCTCCATGGAAGTGATAGAACACGTCGACAATCCACGGGACTTCTTAGATAGTTGTGCGCGACTTGTCAAGGTGTGTAGAATGTTAGCAACCCCCGGTTTCCGATCTTCCCGCTAAAATCGCCTATTTAGCCCGGCGGTCATCTTTTACTATCGACCATTGCGCGCACGCCGCTAGCCTATTTCCTCACAATCTTTGCAGCCGAAGACCTACTAGGTTTCGTATCTAAAGGAACACACACCTTCTCGAAATATGTCAATCCAGAGGAGCTCGAGGGATTCTTCCGCTCGTACCGCTCACAATCCCGCCCTTGGATATCTGGACCTGTTGCGCATAGGCTCCAGGCGGAGACGCGTGGCATTATTTTTGTACCTTGGAACAACGAATGGGTGCTTACACCTCGGGGGTCAAAATGGGCGGAAGGATGTAATTACTTGTTTTGGGTCAGAAGACCTCTGGAATGATGATAACGATAACATTCTTAGTCGGTGGTTTCTCGCTGACTGGACGAATACGTGCGGCACACATGGCTCATTAATGCTATTCAGATGTATGATGAGTGTCTATGGTTTGTTTTGTGTACTTGTGTGTAATACCTGTCAAGAGCGGAGTGAATAACATTTAGACTAAACATCGAGCGGCATGGAGCACATAAGTAATAGAGCGCGGCATTAAACTCTAGATAGTAGTACGAAAACAGTCCATGTTTATTTCTGGCTAGTGGAATACACAACAGATGGTTCAAAGATACAAAGTGTCCAAAATATAGTCCAAGACTAAAGGGTCATAGCGTTCAACGTGAACGCGCGTTCGACACGCGCGAATCATTTAGGTCCGTGATACTTCGGCGAAGCAAAGCTATCGTGATAATCAGTATCTCTACTTCACTAGGAACAATTCCTGCAGCAGCGCGGTGAGAAAACAACGGCAAGGCGGGACGAACGTAAGTACTTACCACCTCATCTGCTGGAGTTTTGGTCGCTGCATTGTAAGCGGTGATATTCCCGACGAAAAAGAGCGCATTTGCCACGGAATCAAAGGCAATCGTCGTAGCGTGAGATGAGCGATCCGAATTGATCCATTGTGCTATCGCAATCACATTTTTTGTTGTTAGAATAGAAGGAAAGATAACATCATCGGGACGGTACCTTTGAGTTGAAGGGTGGATTTATCGATGGTCCAGATAGCCGACGCTCCTACTGGGCTTGCAGGTGCACCAGGGGTAGCTGGATGGTCAATTAGGATGCAAAAATAGATCATCTGGATGATATTGCGACATACTTTGACGTACGTTGGTCAGAGGAACAGATCTGAGGGGGAGAAAGTTGGACTAGTGCACAGAAGGATAGATCGTATTACACATACAGTACTAAACCGCTGGCGAGAGTTCTGTTAGTACCGCCGCCGATGTAGTCCGGGCCTTTGAACAGGGGATTCTGGCGGTTGTTCGGTCAGGCCAACCCGAGCGCACAATTGACGACCATGAACACCCACCGTGGCTAAGATACTGAATGGACGAGATCCAGTCGTTGTAGTTGCAATCTTTACCTCGAGGTGCTGTCCTCCTGTTCCATTAATGTCTACTGAAGAGCTAAGAAGACTGTTTGAGAGCAGTTTCTGAAGATTTGATAGATTGCGCTTACATCGCACTGCCCGTATTATTCAAATAACCAACTGACTGCCCAGTGGTCCGTTTAATCTCAATACGCCCAGTAAAGCTGTGTATATAGAAAATTGATAAAATTTACGATACAAAACACACAATCGAACAGTACTCACACAATTGGCACACTAGAGGCACTAGGACTAGGAGATGCACGTCTGATTTTCCATGCCGGAGTTGGTTCCAATGCCTCACGCCCAGGCAGAACACGGTTGAGTACAGGTGCTCTCGGAGGAAGATTACGCTTCAATCGCTCAAAATTCGTCAAACTCCTTTCTTCCGGCTCCAACCTCCTGCTTAAAAGTGATCCACGTCTAGGTTTTGCATTGACGGCGAGGAGGAACGCAAGGAGGGCGACAAGGCTAGGAAGGAAGCGGAAGAGATGCATCGTCTCGACTCAATCTTGAGGAGAACAAGACGAGGAGAGATGGTTGCTTTGAAAGCGTGCCGAACGGCGTACTTAAACGAGTTCACCTAGCCTGAGAACGGGCGGGAGCAAAGGGGAAACTCCAGAAGAGGGATCGGAACTGCTGCAAGACGGAAGAAGCTAGTTATAAGGACCGGAAAGCCTAAGACATGCGCGGGCTGGATGGCATCTGTCCTGTTGACCGATCATCTTGCGATGAATCATGGGGAGACAATACGCGATACTAAGTGGATACAAGGGGTTTGCGGTCGAGCTTTGCCGGACTATATCGCACGTGACGCATCTTGGAATCATACCCACGGCGAAGACTACCCGTTCTGGGAGCTTAATGAACACGACTAGAGGAAGCGAGCGTACTGTAGCACCAGCTAAGAGGGCGCTACGAGGGCTGGAAGGGGACCCGCCAGATCGGCCTTGGGCCTGGGGAGGATCGCTTATGGGAGGGAAGAGGTATAAGGAGATACGCCGAGTGGGCGTGGATGAATTTCACAGTTTCGCGTCGAGGGACGCAGACTTCTTGCCAGCCAACCTTGTGCGAACCTGTAGATCCAGTGAGCCTCCAGTGAGATCGTCGGGAATCTGGACTTCGGTTCCAATTGCTAGTAGGGTTTTCCCGTCGAGGGGGCCAGGGCCTCATTGTTTTGAAGTAGGTTCACCGACGTCGAAGCCCATTGTTTGAACGAGCGGGTATGCGCCAAACCCCGCCGAGTGTGGAGGAAAGCTCCTAAGTATTTCAAGCGATTTGAGTTTCGCGAGCCAACAACTTGGATGATACGTCCATAGCCATGGGGGCCGTAGCTCAAGCAGGGCTGCGCTGGGCTACAAATTTTAGAGACAAGGTCCAACGACATTGACGACAACGTACCATTGGAACATATGCTGAGGGTGAGCTTGAATTTTTGGGCTGCGCGGCGAACAAGTCGTTGAGCGTGAATGTCCGAAACAAGAACGGATGTTGGCGCCTAATGAGCGGACAGAGGTATCGAAGAGAAGCAAGCTTCCATGCCTGAATATGATATGAATATCATTAATGTTGAAGAAATTCAAGCACTCGATATCGTCTTGATTGTGTATTATTGCGAATGAGAAATATCACACGGTGGAAAGTAATAGGACAGTTTCACAGCGATTTGGTTCCGTTGATACATATTTTGTGCCAAATTCTTCAGCTTTAATGTAGATTTGCCATCAAAGAATCTGCCCGCACTGGTAAGTGACAGTACAGGAAGTATTGAGTCCATTGTTGAAAGTAGCAAAGGATAGAATATAGTTGTACAATATCGTTGCGCTTTCCGTCTGTTATGCCTTTTCGCTTTCATCGTGTACCCCCAAGAGCCTTCATCCTCGCCTCAGCGGCCCTCGCTCTCCTTTCCCTCTCCACCTTCGCCCTCATCTCAGGTGTCAACCCAGCCACACCTTCACTCGCACCCGCCGACCCACCCAACTTCCTCGGCCCCTCTACCGTTTCCTTTATCCTCACCTTCTCCACCTTGGAAGGCTCTTCAACGACAAAACTGGGGCTCGGCGCCCTTTCCTTCTCCTTTGCCTCTCTCTCCTTTACACGGTCTTTCAATCCTTTCCTTCTCACCTTCTTCTTCTCTTCTCTTCCTTCTTCCATTTCTTTACTGAGGATACTCGGAACCCTCGCACCTCCGTTTTCGACCCCGAGCCAGTCCCACCAGTCAGGGTGGTCGGCTGCACAGCGACGGAAGACGTTTCGTACTTCGCGCGAGCGGGCGAGGTCGTAGGCTGTACGACGGGTG